AATCATTTGGGTCCATATTTTTCGTGGGCCCAACCGAATTTGATCGTCCACATAGTAAATTGCTAAGTGGGCTTCCTTTAAACTGAATTATTTCACTTAGTTCTTTATATGAATATTATATCCACAATTGTCCTATGAAGACTCGCTTTCGCTCTGGTGGGTTCCCTTAATCAAGCCATTGCTTATGAGTCGTTGACTCATTCTTTAACAGGCATGCGGTCATAGCTTTGGACTCCTCCCACTGCTTGGGAGTTTACGGTTTCATGTTTTATTTCACTTCCCGATGGAGGTTCTTTTTACCCTTCTCTCACGGTACTACTTCGCTATCAATCACCCATGAGTATTTAACCTTACAAGGTTGTCCTTGCTAATTCACATGGAATTCCATGTGTCCCATGCTACTTGGGTCAGAGCATAAGCTAGTGATGTTTTGGGCTACTGGACTCTCACCATCTAGGGTGCAGCACTCCACCGTTTCGCCTAGTAGCACGACGCTTTTATTGCTCTCCCACAACCCCGTTTTCACAGTTTAGGCTGTTCTCATTTCGCTCGTCGAGAAAAAAATCAATTATCCTTCCTCTTCTTTTATTTTTTATGTGTTCATGCTGTGGTTCCTCTCGTTTAAAGAGAATGTTAATAGTTCATACATATTCGAAATGTTAAATTACTTGATTGAAAGAAAAAAGTCTTGGGTTCAAGGGTGGAAATATCCAAAATACATTTCAGATACAGTACAAATGGAATTCCATCCCTTTTTATTTATGTATTTTTCTTTCGTATTCTATTTATTCATTCCCTCTTATATAACCTTATAGCTAGAACCCACTAAATGATGTGCGCGATACAAAATTCATGGTGCCAAACTCGTTTAGTTCATTTTATTGGCTTGTCTCATACAAAATAAGTATATTTCTAATTTGAAAATCTTTTAATCTTAATCTATCCATAATAACATAATAAATAATACGAATGAGACATTAATTATTCTGTTTGGTGTATTTGATATATAAGATAATAAAACGTACAAATTTGAATACTCGTAGTAAATACTATTTTCTTATCATTCAATGAATATTTGTATTTCATAAAAATTAAGGTCAATATAATCCTTACATAAATACCACCCTATCTAACTTTCGGGTATCTTAGTTCTTTATAGAAATATTATATCTTTATACACCTTGTCACATCAAAAAAATTTAGATATTACTTTTCTTATTTGTATAATAAAAATAATATATAGGCATAACTATATATTAAACTTTTAGCTTTTCAATAATTATTAAACTTGTTATAAATATTAATTTTCACAATTTTTAGTTGAAAGGAAATTAATTATATCTAAGTAAAAATTAAAAAATATAAGCAATTTTTTTCCTCCCACGAAAAATTTAAGTTTGATAGTATATACTTCTTCACAACAAAATTGACGGTTGGTGATTTGGTAATATAACATACGTCCAATGAAGACGCACGTACTATAGCATTTCTCATCCCCCTCAGGATTTCCCCTTTCTGATTATCTTCCTGTCAAAGGCCCAAGAACTTCCATGAACTTCCTACCAGTCAACTAATTCCTTCTCCTTCAGCCATCTCTTATTTTGTTCTTCTTCTTCTTCCTTTTTTTTGTTATTCTTCGTTTATTTTCGTATTGCAGAAAGGTTTAACTCACTACCCATAAGGATGGAGAACTCAACTCAAGAGTCCCACCTGGGATCAGATAACTGCATCACATACGAATCCCCATACCCTCTCTACGCCATGTCCTTTTCTTCTATCCACCATCACCACCACCACCCGCAACGCATTGCCGTCGGGAGTTTCATTGAGGATTTTACAAATCGGGTCGACATCCTCATTTTCGACCCGGAAACATTCTCAATTAGAACACAACCCACTCTCTCCTTCGAGCATCCGTACCCGCCTACCAAGCTGATGTTCCACCCAAATGCTCCCTCCTCGCTTCTTAAATCCTCATCCGATCTGCTTGCGTCCTCTGGCGACTTTCTTCGGCTATGGGAGATCCGCGATTCGTCGGTGGAACCCGTGTCTGTCCTCAACAACAGCAAAACAAGCGAGTTCTGCGCTCCGTTGACCTCCTTCGATTGGAACGAGGTGGAGCCCCGGAGAATCGGGACTTCGAGCATCGACACCACCTGCACCATCTGGGATATCGAGAAGGGCGCGGTGGAAACGCAGCTCATAGCTCATGATAAGGAGGTGTACGACATCGCTTGGGGCGAAGCCAGGGTCTTCGCCTCCGTATCCGCCGATGGGTCTGTCAGAATTTTCGATTTGAGAGACAAAGAGCATTCCACCATTATCTACGAGAGCCCGCAACCTGATACCCCTTTGCTTAGATTGGCTTGGAACAAGCAGGATTTGAGGTACATGGCGACCATTTTGATGGACAGCAACAAAGTTGTGATTCTGGATATTCGCTCCCCAACCATGCCGGTAGCTGAGTTGGAGAGGCATCACGCGAGTGTTAACGCTATTGCTTGGGCTCCGCAGAGCTGCAGACACATTTGCTCCGCTGGCGATGACACGCAGGCGCTTATTTGGGAGCTGCCGACGGTGGCTGGACCCAATGGGATCGACCCAATGTCCATGTACTCTTCTGGGTCCGAGATTAACCAGCTGCAGTGGTCTGCAGCTCAGCCTGATTGGATCGCCATTGCTTTTGCTAACAAGATGCAGTTGTTGAAAGTTTAAGGTCCGAATTTGTGTTAATTAAAATCGCACCTTGCTTGATTGTATTAGTAGTTAGATGTTAGGTAGCCAGATAAACATGATTGTATATCTATCCGTTTTCTGTAGGAAAAGTAGATCTGTACTGGGAGTTGCTTGCAGTTAAGGTCTCCCTGTGCTGGCCTGCTCAAAGTCTCAATTGAATTTCTTGTCAGCATACTAGAATTAGTGTTTACTGAGTTAAGATATATAGCTTGCGAATGAGTTTTATGGTCTTATATATGTTCTCTAATGGAGTTTTTAGCCAAAATCAGGTTGTGCAAAACAAGGGATGCAACTTTTTGTTTCTGTTGTTTTATGATTGAGTTAGAATATCTCAATTCTCATGGCTTAGTAAGTGAACAAATATTTCTTATATTATGCTTGTTCCGATATGGAATTTAACCCTTTCTGACATTGTTTTTGAAGAAATCATGGCGGCAGAGCCTAAAACATTTGAATCTTGCTAGAGGTTACTAAATGGTTAGCCTCTTCTGCTTGTAACAACTGAATCTCCTGTAACTTTGTAGTGTACATATGGTGAGAAATTTACCCAGCTATGACTTTATTACCGGATTGAATAATTAAGTCCACTTCTTTAAGTGTCTCCGGGTGATGATTTACCAGACTCACCAGTTTTCCTTTTCAATCTGTTGCCTCACAAGATATAGTAGTTTCTTGTACTACCTTCCTTTCATAACTAGTTCCATCCTCTAATTGTTTCACATATTTTTGTTTGGATTCTTGTTTCAACTACGTCATTGCATTTTGGCTCAAGTTTAATTTGGGTAGACTGTCTCGATGGACAATGGCAGCAACTAGGTGGGAATTGCCACTAAAACACCAGTTAGAGGTGTGGGTTTGGCTGTCATCTTTGACGAATCACACGGGATTAGTCTCTTACAAGAGATCATGTGAATTGTTAGATAGCATGTTTTGACTATGATTCTTCTGTTTATTGGATCTAGCTTTCACTCTACTTGACCAAACAGGAACTTTGAATTCTTTCATTGATTTTGTATACTAGGGAATAGAACCTACTGGGTGCCAAACAAACTTGGGAAAATGGGTTATTACCATTGTCAACTTGTTGAATGAAATGTGTTATGTGTAAGACTGATGGTTACCCTTTGGTAAAATCCTCCTAATGCCACTCCATCTTTTTGACCTTACCGGAAAGCACCCTGAATTGCTGTCTATTTCGGATTCTGAGAATTGCCTCTCCACAGTCACAACCCAGAAGTTGGCTAATGATTCTTTTACTCTTTTTGGTGAAGCACAGTTGGGAAGTCTGGTTTTTTATGAGCTAATTTCAGCTTACAGGTTATCTCTGCTATCTTTTAAATCGGATAATCATGTTTTAAGTTCTCTCATCTATGTGTTACGTTATAATTTGATAGTTTGAATGACGATCTCTTCCTCGAAATTACAGGTTTAAATTGCCTGTCAATTTTACTTTATGTTTGAATGATCTTGTTATATGTCTCTCTTCTCACTGATTTATTTTCTGTCGATTTTTTTCTATAAAGTTCTGATATTGAATCTAATGATTGAAAGCTAATAAAAAATATTCACATGATGCAAATTTGAAATTATAACGTTTATTTTATTTAAAATTTTACTTTTATTTGTTATATATATATATATTTATATTATATGAAAATAAATATATTTTTCTAAATATATATTTGTGAAACTAAATTTTAGGAAGATATTAGTAATTATAAATATTAGCTTTAATAAAATCTAAATAAAAAAATAAAAAGTTAAAAAAGGGCCTGGTTATCAGCTTATGAACATGTAATCTCTAATGTATATTCGGCCGAACAGCCTCACACCCGGATTCAATATAGACCTACACATTACCCGACCCGGCCCGAATTTCGTCCTTCAATCAACACGTGGAAACGCCAAAACCCTAATCCTCGAGGTATAAAGCTGCTGTTCATAAAAACCCTCGCTTCTTCTAACGCAATTTCCTCTCTCTTTTGCAGCTTTCTTGGGTATATTTCCTCTTCTCTTCTCTTCTTTATTCTGATTGTGTTGGCTTTCAATTCCTCAGTTTGGGTGTTCGTTATTCAGGTACTTCGGCAGTGATATTGCGTCTGAGCTTCAATGGCAGCTGCAGAACTCGCTTGTACCTACGCTTCCCTCATCTTACTCGATGACGGGATTGCAATTACCGTAATCTCATTTCTCTTTAGCAACGTCCAAATCTTTGGATATACATTTACACGATGATGCATTGATTGATTTCATTCTAACGAGCTTTTTATCTCTCGATCTGAAATCTCCTGGGTTTTGGATGGTGAATGGGAAACAGTCTGAGAAGATTTCCAAATTGATCAATGCGGCGAATTTGACGGTGGAGTCATTCTGGCCAATCCTTTTTGCGAAGTTGGCTGAGAAGAAGAACATTGAAGAACTCATGGTGAACGTCGGTTCTGGCGGCGTTGCTGCACCTGGTGCCGTTTCCGCCCCTGCTTCGGGCGCCAGCGCCCCGGCCGCCCCTGCTGCGGAGGAGAAGAAGGTATGATTCTCACTGGTCACCTCGTTTACGTGTTATTTCGTTTTTTCTTTTTGGGTTAGCAGAGGTTGTCGGTGAATTGCTTTCCTAGTTCATTGGTGAGATGTTTGATGTTTGTCGTGCTTGAATTGTGGTGTTTTACAGGAGGAGCCCAAGGAGGAGAGTGACGACGATATGGGTTTCAGTCTCTTCGACTAGACTTTAGCATTTTGGTATTGTCTTTACGTCTGGCTTGATTGGGAATTCTAATTTTGTTAAGAATTGTTGAGAGTTTAGGGTTTGTAACATGAATTTCAATCAGTTTTGATCCGTTTACACAAGTTAGATAATTTTTTATTTGGTTCTTGGATTAATTATATGTACCATTTGCTTCTTGTTTCTATTTTCACTCTCGACCCAATTGAATTTCTACTTTTAACTTTTATATAACATATATATATATATATATACACACAACTAAGGTAGAATATATATAAACTTTTCATCCTTTCAAAACCAAGGTAGAATAGGTGCAGGAATTTGTATTGTAATTCTAATTCTAAACGTTAGGACTCATCCCAACGCCACAGCAGCATTTGAATTTGTTGGTTTCTGTTCTTTATTTAATCGTTACTGCATGTATGTACTATGCTTATACGCACTTATATATATATATATTTGTTAGTTGAACAAACCCTAGAATGATTTCAGTACGGATGAATTAGTAGGAGAAAAGTAATAAATTTGTAAGGCGAACATCAATGGTTCTGATTGCCAATCTCAAATAAGAAACAAGACCTCTACTTTCTAATGTGAAGAAAGTAAAAATTTGTGGGCACAAAAAATTTTTGGAGGAGGCATAATTGCCAATGGCTATGACGAATGTAAATTATGGGTTTTGGCCCAGTGATTATCTATATCTGTGTTTAGATTTCCGATTTCAGTTTTAATTCTTGCTTAATGTCGGAAAATATACTAGTTTTGGTGGAGTATATAATATCACTTGATTGTTATCAAACGTATCGTATAATAAGCCATGACTAGATCAGAACCATTCTAATTTCAGAACGGTTTCTCAACGAGTTTATTGGGTCTGAACAGAGACTACAGATCTTAAGCGATTGATCTGGTAGAATAATTCAAAGGGTAAAAAAAAAAATTATGGTTTCGTTCCAAATTGGAATACATCATTTATGCAAATAAAAATTTTCTTTGTTATATGATTATATAGATATAGGATGTATCCAGTGTATTTAGAGAAGAAGGTTTTGTCACTTAACACGTAAAATCAACCAGAAATTATAGAGGAAATTACGGGACAGAACAGGTAATGAAGGTCCTCTAACAACAAGCCACGTTCCCGATGTTTCTGGTACATGTTTCTTGATCCTTTTACGCGGACTTCCTCCAATCTTACACTCACAACAAATCTTCCAGATCATTCTATCCATTCATTACATGTGTAAATGTGTGTGTATATATATATATATATATATACATGTAAGTGAAGCCCCCCATCCTTATCCAAGCAAAGCTTGCAGCAGTCAAAACCCACCAACGTTTCTGATCATTATTTGTATAACAAAATGATGTCAATTTTCAGCTCGTTCGACGCTTTCTCTCCTGAATTCTACGCTCGCAGCCTCAAGCTTTCATGGGATTCTTCGCAGTCGCAGACCTCCAAGCCATCCTCCGTCGATTCCTCAAACCCATCCACAGACCACAAGTCGTCATCGCCGCCGCCCTCCTCCAAAAATTCCGATTGCAAGAAATCTGCTTCTCCTCGGGAACGACGTAGAACGCCGAGGTTTGCTCCGGAGTTGGACGGAGTATACTGTTTTGAGACAATAATTCCTTCTTGAAGATTTTTTTATCTACTTGTCTTTTCATTGTAACTGGTCGAAATTTTCTCACTGAATAAATTGCAATGATCTTGTAAATAAGATACCATAGCCAATTTTTTTGGGGTTCCATTGTATTTCAACATTAAGATCATAAATAAGTTGATAATTTTTTTTTTGGGGGGTAATTTTGTATATTAATTAGTAGTTTAGGTGGTAAGTAGACAATAATTTCAATATATTATAAATAAATTTTTAGATAAGTACGCGTAATTTATGGAGAAAGAGATGTATCAACTATGCAACTAAGCAGTTGTTGAAACGCAAGTTGATAAATTGATGCCATAGGGAAAGCACAAACGGCTCATTTTCCACCTCCACATGGTCTGCTAGCAGTCCGATTAGAAGGAACTGTTACGTGTGATTAGTCACACATGAAGCCATGTGGTGACCATGTGGACATGACCATGTGATGAGATTTACAGAGAGCTGTCGAGCAAAAAATGGCTGCGACTTCAATTTGATCCACGGTGACGGTGAAGAAGATAAGAGAAAAAGGTTGGCTTGTGTGGTGAGCGCGCTGCTCATGACGTGTCCTGCTTGTTATTCTCTTAAAACCCTCTCCCACATCATCTTCATATCATTTGCCAGTTAACATTATCCTGCTACCCTCTAGCCTCATCTTCCTGACATCCAAATATTCATCCACATATACATATAAACATATTTAATATACTTACATTTGCATTTCCTTGGTGATAAAATTTGTCCTTGTCTTCACACCATTCTTTACTTCTCTTGACCACCAAGGTATCTTTACTTTCCTTGGCTTAGCTTTTACTGTCTTCATCTTGTCTGTTGGAACCTTTTAAAGATCAATCATTGAGCTATCCAAGGTGCGGCTCATATGGCTACGACTACCTTCTAGTTGCTGCAATTGGGATTTATTTCTTTGACAGAAACCACAACATAACCGAGGTAATTAGATTATCTTCAAATCATGATGAAGCATTTTCCAGCACGCCTATGCTGGTATTTCTTTCTATTCCTGGTTTAATTAAAAATTTTAACAGAAGATATGATTTCATCTGTCCAGGAAGCTGCAGGTGGGATGACGGAATATCTGCAGCATATCCTGGCAAACCAAAAGAAGAAAATGAAGAACACTCACTTGCCCAAGTTAGCACCACAGTTTGATGGGTTGCACTCTTTTGAAACTTTTGTTGGCCACTGACATTGCCAGCCGCCTCTGTGGTGGTTGCATGAAAACCAGTGGACTGCATGAACAGCCGGCAGAACACAGAAATATACTCACTTGAGTATGGATCTCAGAAACATAAGTCAACTTTCTATAGAAATCATAATTGTTTTTGTATGTGATAGGGAACAAGGATAAAAAACATTACCTCAAAGTGGCATGACGCCTTGAAGTTCTTATCCACAAATCTCGAGTTTTCTTGCTTTTGCTTGGCAGCTAATCTGCTCCAAACAGTGTAATTATCCAAAGTGTTGCATAGCTTTGCAACCCATGCTCACATTAGATGGAGCCTTGAATTTTATAAAATAATCGTCTAATCTGCTGCAAATGGTGTAATTATCCAAAATCTTGCATAGCATCAAAAGTAAGGAAACTTATATATATCAGTTCCAAGCCTGCTGTTATAAGCCCCAATAGCAATTTCATAAGAAAACACGGTTAGGATGACGAAGCTCATTTTCTTAAATGCGCAAAATGGCAGAACTTGAATATGAGCAAACTGCATACCCACTTTCTAAGGCAACATGAGAAGAGACTCAGAGCAGTCAGCACGTAACAAACACATGCTACTGCATTCTTTCAGCTCAGGGAATACCTTAGGAAGAAACTTTGAGCTTCAGGTATACAGAGTTGTGTATTCGCTTAATCAAATGAACGTGGCTGCTTGCCGTGGCAGTTCTGTTGTCCAAAGAATTTAGTATCAGAGGACAGATCAGAAACTTCAGTGTCCTCAGAATGGTAAGTAACAGTCACCTCTCTGCTAAATACTAGAAAAGAAAAGGAAAAAGAAACTGCTCAATTACACAAAAGGCGAGCTACTAAACAGTCAACATCCCTAAATTGATCTTCAGCACATAAATCATAATCTTCTTCCCATATTGGCAAAGCTTCTGGCAGCACCAAATGTAAACACCTTCGTCAATAACCCTCTGTCAAGACTACAAGCAAGGATAACAGCTGCGCCAAAAATTATGAGCTTTGGTATGTTCCTCCCCGGTGGCTTGTCAGCTGTTGACACTTCTTCCTCCGATAAATTTCTTGTGCAGCCTGTTGAGATAAGAGATTCCACGTTTATTTTGGTAGTGATTTGAGCCATAAGAACAGATGGAGAGAGGGGTGCTCCAGATGATCTTTCTTTCTGGTAGGTGCGTAAGCCAGGCTCAATTTTCTTGACTGCTCCCCACATCCCTTGCCGTATTCCAAGCTTTGCAAGTTCCCTCGGGATTCCCATATCTTCATGATGGAAAAGTAACACCTCACATGCTGTCATTTGGCCATCACCACTTCTCGATTCCACTAGTTATCACAGGGAATTTTACCATTTGTTAGTTTATTTTAATTGATTTAAAGACAAACCAGAAAATTGACTACTAATCTAAAAAAACAGTACTCTACGATGCCTGCTCCTTTTGAAAAGACTAATTGTTATAATAGATAGAAGAGAGGGTGGATGGCATCTCTCTTACAGAATATAGACTGAGCAAACAGATCTTGCAAGCCATATTTTTTCTGTTCTTCATTGTTTGATTATTTTACACTTGCACAACATTAACACTCAAATATAACTAACTGAAAATAGAAGTTACCTGCTCGAATGCACCAACTTGAGTAGTATAGGTCAACTCGTTTTGTTCCATTGCGGCTTGAAATAGAAGCATAGGGCACTCCCTGAAAAATTGAAGAATGAGAATGGCAAATCATATCATTTGGTTACACCAAATAAGCAAGGCATAAGCAATAAATTTATTTCCTTTCTTATTGTTCACGTTCCTTTTTCACTTCAAATGCTTCTCCAATTCCAAAGTGATTACCTCCGTGCTTCTCCTTATAAGTTACATGTGTTCAAACCTTTATATATCACGTGCTAAAAAGTTAAGGGGCAAATTAACCTAGTAAATCCTCGATGAAAACATTAATACTCTAACCACAGGGATTCATTCCATTAATGTCGAAGTAGATTTTCCATTTGTAAGCTATCAGATAGGTCAAAACATATAAACAGTAAATTAGATTTCTTCCTACCTTGGTCACGCAATAGAAAGATCTTCCCAACTCCCATATTCGTCGACTTATAATGTATTCTCTATCACTACAGAAAATCGGGAACTGCATCACCAAGCATTGCAAAAGATAAGCATTCAAAACCTACATCAACCACTCCACCAAAATAAATGTAGAAAAGGCTCACCTTACGTATCCATTGCACTACCATGTTTCCTGTGTTGGGACATTCTTCTATGGTTGTAGAAGATGCAAGCATGTTATCCCACTTTGGTCTGAACTCGTCATCCCAGAAAAAGTCCCTCACCAACTCCGGTGCGGCATTCTCAAACACAGTTCTACTTCGATATTGACAAGGACCATTCTTAACAGGGCCAATAAATAAATCAAAATCAGAGAGCAAAAAACAACATCTGAATGACTAAAACTCCAGAATGTGAATGAAGACATCAATTATCAATATACTGATTGAAGTTAAAAGAATAAGGGGACCAACAAACTATGCAAGAAAACCTAACCTTGGGATCTCTCCACCATGCTTGATAGCTCATATTCGGCATGACACGATGCATCATGTGTATCCAAGGAGGACCTCCACCTTTCATCTTTACAAGCTGGATTAAATACTGTAAATCTTCCTCCTTCACAACATTAGGTTGCCCTTCATTGAGCTGAGATTTACTAAACAAACAACACATCTTATGAGCTAACACGTCTCACTCCCAATCTCACTAGGCAAAAACACATTTCACGGAAGACATATAAACAGAAGATTTTTGTTCACGACAGGGCTAGGAGCCAAGGACAACTATATCTCACAAATTATACTAATTAAATCCCATCTTATCAAGATAAGAACATACGAAAATGCAAGAATTATCCAATTGTAACAGTTCTTTTCTTTTTCTTTTTGGGGGTTAGGGGGTGAAGAAGGTAACTTCTAATAATTTTATTTTCCAATATCCTTAGCAGTTTCCATAATTGCTTATGAAATCCCATGACGATCACTTCATGGTGCAAAACGTAAGCAAAAAACAAATTGAATTCCGCAACCAGATATTGTACATGGGGAAAATTAACAAACAAGGAACAAACTTTGAAACATTATGAAATTCTAGAGGGTATAATAAGAAAAGTGTTCAGCTCAATAACCTGCAATCATCATTTTTGCTAGCAGGTAAAGGAGTTGTCTTTGTGTCTCTCTCTCCGATGACCCATGACGGGAAAGTTGCAGGCCCGGAGGAATTCAAGCAAGGAGCAGAGCTCGATCCTAAATCCTTCGTGGAAAGTGAGGCCGGTATAGCCAAATTAGAAGAATCAGCGGCTGAATTAAAGATGGGCACATCCCTCCAGAACCATTCCCATCTTGGTTTCCATGTCCACCCTATTATCAAACCGACAAGAAAAGATATACACACTGCACACAGTCCTCCAATGGCGGCCTCAATTAAAGCCATGGCCCCACCAAAACAAGCCAATGACTAATTTTTCATAATCGGATGTCGACACGAAAAAGGCATAATTTGTGGCATCAGAGTAAATAGCAGGGAAGCGTTTGCGACGAAGACGAAGTGGAGAAGAAGAAATATAACGAGGAACAATGGCGGCAAACGTAGAAGAAGACAGAAATGTGAGTAGAAGATCAGAGGTGAGTGGAGTAGCAGCATTTAAATGTAACGACGCCGTTTTGTTGCTTGCCGAATACGAAAAGATCAAGTTACAATTGTACCCTTGTTTGACTTATTTATAATTTAATCTCACTAATTATTTTAACTTTTATATATTGTGTTTAGAATATTATATTCTTAGTTAATAATAAAATAAAAATAGCAATAGATTTTTTAAAATATATTTTAAATATTGTTCTAAGAAATATATATATATATATTTATTTTAATGTACAGATATATAATTTGGGCCATGTGAAACAACTGGGCCCATTTCATTGCTTCGGCCCAGTTCATTATGGGCTTACATCGATGGCCCAAATTCAAATTGTAGCCTTGCTGATTGCAATCGATTTTTGTTTCGTCTTTCGTTAAAACGAGGACGAAGAACCCTGTATGCCGTAGCCTGTCATTACGAAGTCTGAATTGATTATATATGGAAGATGATGGACTTCGTTTATGGAAACTTACCTTTGATGCAACCCTGCAACAGAAAACCGCGTAAAAAAAATTAAAAGCTCCCATAAACCTCATTGACTATTCCTTACATATATGTATAGAGTATACATATAATGTATATGTATATACAACCACAAGGGGAGGGTTGAGTTATTTTAGGAAAGAAGGAAAGAGCCCTGAAAGAGCGGGAAAGTGAATATTACAGAGAGAGAAGAAAATGGGATCTCGGTTTTTTGCTAATTGGAAAGTTTTTTCTTCCGGCAAAATCCTTAATTTGCTGTCTACTGGTTTTCTCAAGTTTCCTGAGAAACAACCCCCCCTCTCTCTCTCTCTCTCCCTCCCTCTCCGTCTCTCTCTCTCTCGCTCTCTACTCGTACATAAATATCTGTATATATATGTGTGTGTGTGTGTGTTTTCCATTGCTCTATACAGGACTTGCAGGTTGTTTTATCTCTGTTTTTGTTTTCTGGTTTTCTCTCCTTGGTCTGTTTCTTCTTATTCTTCTTTGCTAGAGGACGAATCAACAAATGGAGGATTTGAGTTTTGTTAATTGGAGTTATCCGGAGGTGGGTTCATTTCTGTACCAGTTTCTATATTTGATTTGTTTATTTTAACACTGTCCGATACTGCAGTCATTAATGGTGATTATATCCATTGCTTCTTTATTCTTTTCGTTAGTTTTTGTTTACACTTTTTATTGTTTCAATTCACTGAGATTCATAGATGTTGTCATCTCTTTCACTGATATAGCACATTTCTGTTCTGGGTTCTCCGAATTCTTTGCTGTTTTTCTTCATTTTGATTATTGGTATATGATCCTCTGTTTCCCTCCTGAGTGCCCTTCTCTTGATAAGACTGAATTCCCTTTCTGATACATGCATATACGATAGTATACATCCATTATAATCACTATTTACAGAATTGATGTAATCTTCGATTATGAAAATCTGGGTTCTGAAACAGGTGTTCATCTCCAGTCTTCATGGTCTGTGAGTTGATATTAAAATGTTGATTTAGTTCCTCTTTGAACCCACAAGGAGGCAATTCGGCTCTTTCCTTTGTATTCTTCTCTTTTAATCTCTTTCAATTTCATTACTACAAATGATGAAGATCACGAGTGGTATTAAAAGTTTATATTGTCATTCCATTCATTATCTCAATTATTTGTTACAAATCCTATGATTGTCGTATCATTTCTACATACACAAACACGTATAAAGTTTTGTAGTTTAAACTGAACTAGTTTTGTTCAAAACATCTTGAGTGTATTCGTACTAGATGGCTACGGGTCTGGAATCATTTCTATCGTAAAGTAGGAATTGTACAGGGGAAATCACCGGAGAAGAGATTCCGCTGGTATTAAAATGATCTGGTTTTTGGATTGATAGGATATTGATGAACTCAGGCAGAAGCTTGAATACACTACTTTTCAACTAGAGTCTGTGAAGAAGAAGGCGGATGAGGAAGCAATTAGACACAATGAGCAGTTGAGGCATTTATTCAGTCTCGTAAACATTACTTGCAAAGAAAGAGATGAAGCAAGACATCAGCTGCAGAAACTTCTCAACAAGTTTATGTCTTCTGCTGACCCAACTGACTTAGTCAATCCAATTCTTCCCCATGTCCAACCTGCAAAAGCCAACTCCAGCATTACAGAATCCAACAGTTTGTCCCATTCACCCGGTTTCTCTCCTGTTGATTCCTTATTCGACAACATTAACATGGCTGATTCGGGTTTTGTTAATCAGCCAAACAATCTTTGTTTTGTGTCTAAATCAATGACCAAAACTGAACCATGTGGCGTTGCAATGGACAATGCTAGCAAGGGAAGACCTTTGCCTGAAAAGGGGAAGCTCTTGCAGGCTGTAATGGATGCCGGTCCACTTCTCCAGACGCTGCTAGATGCTGGGCCGCTTCCAAAGTGGAAAAACCCTCCTCCTCCGCGAATTTGCAAAATCCCGCCAGTTCCGAGTAAGAAGAAATGCAGGCCTGCAATTGTGAAGCCATTGAACTCATTGTCGTGTATGGAGTCACAGATATCTTCACCTTCCACATTGAAACTTTCAAACGGTATGAATGTTTCAGGTCCTAGTAATAGCATTCGAATTCTGGCTGACAAGCGACAAAAAGTTTTCGGTAGGATGAACCAGAGTTTTAGTTTTTAGGAATTCAGTGCAAACGGGTGAACATACACTGATTTGATTCAAGTGGTTTTAAGTGTTGAAGTTTATATGTTGTTTATGATTTGTATATACAAATTTTTTTTATGACTATGACTAGTTGGATTTTTAAATAATATAATTAAGTATATTATTATCATAATATAATAATAAAAAAATAACAAAATTATTATGTTTATGACTGGTTCGATTTTTAGAAAATATTACTTACAAATTTATATTCTTAAATGGGTAGCAATTTTTACATTTTAAATATTTAAGCATTTTATATAAATAAAAGGTATGAAATTCATATATTATAAGGTAATTTAATAAAAAATGAAAATAATATATTATTAAATAAAAATAACCAAGCGACCCCATTAGTCCTTTGAGAAGTATGAGAACTCAGTAGTCAGTTCAGCTTCTTAGAGCTCAAGCGTGCGACACGTGTTACTGAAATTACAGTGACCATCGGGGCTAATCCACCATTAACCATCACTGCAATCTGCAGACTGCTAATTGATAATGCTTCTTCCTCTGCAATCGCTACATTGTATCGATTAAATTTAGATTTGTCCCGCGATTCATCAATGCTCTGCTCTATTTCCTCCGCCACCAAGTCCGGCGGTTCAAATTGGCTCGACCGTCTCCGGTCGAATAAGGGATTCCCCGCCGGAGACAGCCTCGGCCTCGACCATTTCCTCACCAACAATTATTCTAACCCTAACACCTCCCTTTCTCCCACCATTCCCACCAATGCCTCCGATTCTGCTGCTCCTACCCCTGAGTTGACTAACTCGATCACCGATCCAAACCTACCTCTCAATCGGGCGGAGATTTCCACTCGACCGACTCATAAACCTAAAGACGGAGAATGGCTCGGTGTAATGAGCAATGTCCTGTCGGAGCTCTTCATCATGGGTGGATCTAATCGCGCCTCAACATTCAAAAAGTCTTCCAGGAAACAAACTAACCCTAAATTCTGCGTTGTCCCGCCTCCTCCCGACTCGCCTCCCAAAGGTTCCAGTATTGTACGAGAAGACGAGAGTGCTCAGCCGGCTACGGCGTCGTATAATTCGGACAATAACAGAGCTCGGGGAACCAAGAACACGACTCGAGACGGTAACCTTGGTGAGTGCGAGGTGGATGTGGAGGAGGAGAAAGAGAAGGGGGAGAAAGAGCTGGTAGGTTACTCGAGGAGCGAAGTGACGGTTATAGACACGAGCTGTGCAGTGTGGAAGTCTGATAAGTTGGTGTACAGGCGGAAGAATGTGTGGAAAGTGAGGGATAAAAAGGGTAAGTCTCGCGTTTTCGGGAGGAAGAAGAAGAGGAAGGATAATACGATGCCGGAGGATAATGTTGGCGGCAGCAAAAAGGCAAAACTCTCCACGCCGGAATTGGAGTCACATTCCCGGAAAGCCGATGAAGCAAAGGAGTCTTTCTCGCCTTCCAGTCAACTTCATTTTCATGTAAGATTGGTCTTCTTTGCCTCTTGGTTGCTAACTCTCTCCTTCTGCTGTTCGAATTCTAGTGATAAGGCACGTATCTAGCACCGTAAGTAGTATTTTACTGAATGGTTTTGTTTTGATCAAGACTGTGACGTTATGTTTCCTGAGTGCATTCTTTTCAATGCCCTTCTGTTTTCCAGTTTCATACGCATAGCTTTTTAGTCTCTGCTATGAAGTCTTGTTATCTGGTCTGAGAATTCCATGGTTAAGATATGTTATATCACATTTGTTGTTGGCTTGGCAAGTGTGGGTTACAGTCTAGTTTCTTGAATATATAACAAATGATCTTCTAGATTTGTTTCTGCTGATATAACAGAGTGAATGCATGCACTTATTTACACCAGAGGATCAAAGACATTAAGAATTGCAGTCTTTGTTTTGACTCCAGCATTTAAATTTATAAGGAATTGCCAACTCTCTTCTATTACTGTAAGTGTAGATCTTCTTCCTTTTTGTGCCTTGAAAGCCAATCGAAATTTCATCATAAAGTCTGTCTGGCTTGATATGGTTTGCGATCTGTTTGTACCTTTACTTTATGTTGGAATCAGTTATTTCATGCCAGTGTGTGTCTAGTGATTCTCTACTGTGGGGTAGGCCACCCTTGAGGTTTTTGGTTTGAAGTTCTTCTCCCATCGGTCCATGATTGGTGATATTTTCCTGCGTTGTGAATTGGCTTCCGTACAGCTGGTTCTTCTAACATATTACATGGCTAATAATCATAAATTTAACCATTAACTGTGGATGTGACTAAAAAAGTTATGATTTTGTGGAGAACTGGTTGAAAACACTATATTTTATGTGAAAAACTGAAAGTTAATTGTCTAAAAACTACATCCTAATACAACTCTTGCAATAATGAATTTTTAATTTTGTGTGATGTGACATACCTTAGCTAATATGAGCATGAAAGTGTCAAACTGTGGCCAGGGGTTTTCTTAGTTCTACTGTGCATTTCTGGTGGCTGTAATAGCTCCTATCAGCTAGGGTACCTTCCATCAAATTTAATGGCTTATTTTCAGGTGAGCCAATGTGCTAAGGTGGAGCTACTTTCTGGTTCCACATATGGACCTCTTGCTTACTGTTCTCGTCACTCTCTTTTTTTCTTCACTACTATGGATTATTGGCTTCCTCATCAATTATGGAACAGCCCTATTTGATGATACATATGATTACTTTTAGTCACTCAAAATTATAAATACTCTAAATCAACTGACTTATTTGGCATGAACAGTTCTGACATCCTTCCGATGAAAGCGTGGAAGACTCTTGTGCATGTTTCTGGCATAGTTTTGAAGTTATTTCTTCAAATAACGAATTCCAATTACCATAATATGTTTTTATCTGCATTGCCTATCTGACATTAACATGCTCTAAAAATCGATTGGAGAAGTTACATTTTCTCTCTATTTGTTATGGACTCTAATCTTTAAGGGATTCTGTTATTTGCATTGTGGGTTGTTTAGAAATCATTTTCTCGTGAATTCTTTTGTGTCATATTTGATTAAACTGAACTCTCTTTGAACCGAAATTTTCTTATCATCTGCACAGCTGAGTTTACTTCTAATCTTCATGAATCCTTCCGTTCTTTTTTATTGAGTGGACTTTTATCAATTTTTCACTGAGTTTTTCCGAAACAAAATCTAGTGACTTATTTCCTCATGCAGGTACAGAATCCTCATAAGGGAAGGGAAGAAATTACTAAAAGGACACCTAGTGATCTTAGCCAAGTTGCTAAAAGGAGGCAAGTACACTTGTGATTATCTGGGATTCTCTCACACACGTTAAACCCATAAGCATTACATTTTTCCTCACATTGAACATGTTTCTGACTTCCTTTACAGGTTATCGAGGAAGTCAAGAAAGGAAGGCTCATCGGTTATGCTTGTGAAAGGCATTGGTATAAGCAAGACAGGTGGAGCAAACCTTAGGAAAAATAGTCCTATTGGTTCCCAGGGGCAGGAAAAGCCCTGATACATCATCACTTGGAAGTAATGATTTGGAAGAAGTAAGATATCAGTTATTATCATTTTGGATTTGCAGTATCTGTCACTTCCTTCTTAATTCTTCCATGGGCAAAGGAAGTAAATTCTTTTGACCAATCAATATGGTGGGAATCTATGTTGTATCATTTTGGAGTAATTATTTATAACATTGCGGTGGAAGGTAGATGATACTGTAAATACTTATTTTTGGATGGATGATCATTTGATTCTTCTATTGGAAATTTCTATGGTTATACTACCCTCGAATCTCTTACAGTTAAAATGCTGGTTGAAGGAACAAAAATCAGCATTTACCTGAAACACAGGCATAAGCTGATAAGCAGATGCACTACTGAACTCAAATTAGAGATGGGTACTACTAATAAGTTAGAGATGGCAACAGCCTACTAAACCAAGTGTACTTCAAACAAAACCAACCACACTTTTATATATCTATGATACGTTTAATTAACCATTTGATACATGTATTTCCCATTTAACTATTTGGAAAACCCTGTTTGAGTCTGTCCATTCTGAATATTTTTTTAAAATATGTAATGTTCCAAATAAGTGATAATAATAAGAATAATGCCTTAGAAATTCTAGTACATATTTCTTTGCACAGCCCTGGAAGGCTCAGGCCCAGGCCAAGGCCCAATGTGGAGTAAAATTCTAAAACTGAGCACGACGTCTTCCTCCTCTGTTTTCTCTTCTTCCTAATCCGATCCCGTACTCGACAACAATCGATTGCCATGTTCGCCATTCCTTTTTGTCCTCCGTCTTCGTCTTCTTCTACTGTTTCCTTCCTCTCGCAAACAGCCAGAAGCCAGCTTCCGGTCTATTCACATGCAGCAGCATCTGGCACTCATGAATGCTTCTTTCTCGTGAATTTCTCTACTGCAACCTCGATTGAGATTAAACCAGTTCGAGCCACTCAACATCTTCTTATCCAGTGCGGCTGCCTCAACTCGCTAACAGATCTTCAAAGTGACACAGGTTGGTAGATACCAGCTCTCTCCTTCTTTTTCTCTTTGAGGCGAACTATCAAACACTTCATGTACATGCGAAGCTTTCAGTGTGTTGTCTTTTTGGATCTCAGGTTTTCTCTATCCATTGTTCCGGGAGCTGGGAATCAACGAAGAAGAAACAGAATATCTTCTTTTGAAGAACCCATCTCTGAAATTATCTTCTTTCGATGAGATAAAGAGCCGTCTTCTTTCTTTGCAGTCTCTTGGAATCACGGGTACTGCGCTTTATCGCATGGTTATGAAACGCCCAAATGTGTTGACAGCAGAGGAAGTTGATCCATTGATACGATTTCTGCTCGATGACATGGAAGGAAAGCTTGAGCTAAAGCAGCTCGAACGCCTGTTAACTGCAACGGAAGCAAGATTCTTGGCTGGTTTTAACCGAAAGGTTAGGCTACTACTTCGACATGGGGTTCCTAAAGAAAAGATTGCTTATGTTCTCAACGATGTCAATCTATCAAAAGCGTTGTGTAAGAAGTCACTTGGAGATATTCAAAGAACCATTGATTTCTTGCAGCCTTATGGTGGCATTGACCTAATTTTAAGACGGCCATTGATCCTTAATTATGATCTTGAAACTCAGCTGATTCCAAAGGTTACTTTTCTTCTGGAGCTTAGTGGGGGAGATGAAAATGGCACTGGGACGGTGCTGCGGAGGCTTCCTACAATCTTGAGCTACAGTTTTGGCCATTTGGAGAACCATGTAGAGTTCTTCAGGTGTTTTGCTGGACTAAGTGATCAACAAATATTCAAGATCATTCTCGTGTTTCCAAATGTGATTAGTGCCAGCAAGGAGCGTAAATTGCATCCAAGAGTAGAGTTTCTCAAGCAATGTGGCTTGGATTCTAATGACATTTTCAAGTTCTTGACAAAAGCTCCTCTATTTCTAGCCCTGTCTTTGGAAGATAATCTTGCACATAAGCTTGGAGTTTTGGTGAAGATTGGGTATGAATATAGAACAAAGGAATTGGCTATGGCAGTCGGCGCTATGACTAGAACAAGCTGTGAGAATATGCAGAAGGTGATAGGGCTTTTCTTGGATTATGGACTGTCTTATGCCGACATTCTCGCCATGAGCAAGAAGCATCCTCAAGTTTTGCAGTACAATCATGGTTCCTTGCAAGAGAAGATGGAGTACTTGATAGAGGAGATGGGTCGGGAAGTTGAAGAGCTTTTGGTTTTTCCTGCATTTCTTGGTTACAAGCTTGATGGGAGGATCAAGCATAGATATGAAGCAAAGAGAAAGACTAGAGGAGAAAATATGTCACTCAACAAACTTTTAACAGTATCAGCTGAAAGATTCAAGAACAAAGAAACTCTTGTTCATGATTGACTAACCAAATGAGGAGCAAAGTTACAAAAAGTTTGTTTCTTTTATTCAGTGGTTATTTTCCTGGTTCTTAATTTCCTATTTCAGAAAAATTTCTCCTTGCTCAAATTGGATTCAGAGGGACTCTTGATCTAGTCTCATAAGCTGTTGCGGTGTGCTTGATTATAAGTTGGTCAATGACAAAGTTGGAAACCTCAGAAAGAACTCTGGCAATCAGATCAGGTGGTAGTACTGTAGTACTAGCAGCCGGCAATTCTTGTATTGATGAGCTTGGATGGAATCAGAGTAGATATCATCCATAGTGGAGACTGGAGCACTTTATTTCCTCTTGGTGTCTTATTGTAATAGTTCTATTATTGGAATTATAAAACTCAGCATTGATCTATATCAATTAAAAAAAAAAAAGACTTCGATGCAAAGTACTGCATCTGCAATCCGAAGTCCGAAGTTTCTCTAAAGATTTTGATTGCCAATACCTGTCATATGCTCGCGTATCTACATGGTGAAGAAAGATTAGCCTCAAAGACTAATTTTGAGAGTGTTCATAAGAGATGGTCTCACTGTGGCAAACGTCATTAATAGAAGCCATGGTAGCATGGGTAGTTCATTTTTCAAACAGAAACCATCAACTGAGACACGGAAAAGAAAGCCAGCAGAAACTTGCCTAGACAGGGGAAAGCTGCACATATCAACTTACCTATAGATTCTAAATATACTTCAAAATGTTTTCTCTCATCTTTTATAGATTATCATATGTGTATCTAATCTTCACAAGAAGCATCAATTATACGTTCATACATTTTAGAAGTTGGTTGATCTCATTCCCCATAGAGGGCTTCATCATAGATTCACATACATCAGCCTTAATGTACACTGCTGCCATCAGAAATCTATAGATGATTGATTGGAAACATAGATTGCAGCCATCTCAATTCTCAAAACAGGATCTTCCTTTCTATTATTCGGCCAAAGAGGGTTCTTTTACCGGCTCTACAAGCACAGGCTCTAGTGTCTCAGCTCTGTCATTACCTTTGGGTATGATCAGACCATATCCACCTGATTTTCTTTTGTACACAATATTCACTTCCCCTGAAACAAAGCAAAGAACAATTTCATAATTTAGTTGGAAAAGAATGCTGGAGGAATACACGAACGTACAGGAAGTGAATCATGACATACCGGTCTCTTCATTTCTGAAACCATAGAAGTCATGGTCAACATTTTCCAGTTGCTCAATTGCTTCAGAGACAGTCAGAGGTGGCATCTCAAAGTATTTTGTCCGTACAATCTGAAACACAAGTTCTGAAGGTTAGCATGGTTCGAGAACTCATCTGGCTCATTTTCTTTCTTTCTTTCCTATGGCATCTATACTCGATATACGCAGAAACATCAAATGTTGATTAAACCCGAAATGGTGGTAATGACAAGAATGCAATTCTTATTTTCATATATGAAAATCAAACAAGATATCTAAGTACTTATTTCAAGTAAAGTGAAGGAAAGGATTGAATAGGCTCAACCTCATCAATAAAGTTCTCCTCCTCCTTCTCCTCCTCCTCTTGTTGAGGTGCTGCATCTTCATCACCATCAACTACCTGTGGTGCAGGCTCCCTAATTTTCAATCTGTTAAAACCCTTCATGTGGCGCCCATGATCAGATTCCTTCTCCTTAATCTTCCTCAACTTCCTCTGTATAATCGACGATACTAAGTCAATACTCCCATATACTGTTTCAGCATCTTCTTCTGCACGAACAACTCCATGTTTCTTGGTAAACAAAGTCACCTGAAGGATTCACCAATCACAAACACAATAACAATCAGGCATCAAACCAAAAGAACAAATCTATTTCCCCACTACTCCATGAAAGTTCAACAGTGAATAGAAAAAAGCACCTCACATCTCCGGATCCTGGGACCCTTCCCAAATTCTCCACCTCGAACAGATAACCTAACATCAACCTCCCGCACAAGATGACTGTGTTTCTGAACAGCCTTTCCGACCTTCTCTTCAACATGACTTTTTACAGTATCTGTTAACTGCTCGACAGCAAAGAAAGTTGTTCTTTTTTATCTCAGTTTCAGTTTGAAATAAATGGTTAAATATAACTCAAGCTCCCCATTGTTGTTTCAGGAATTTTGTTACAGCAATCTAAACAAAAACTATCAAACAGCTCTTGAAAATTAGAGAAAAATCCAACAACAACATTGTTGTCCCAGAATTTTGGTAAAGTACCAATTCTAACAACACGGTTAAACCCCTTTTAAACCTCAGTGAACAATAAGCAAAATGACCTAAAGTTCACATTTCTTTCCCTAATTCGGAATCCTTCAGAAGAAAAGGGTGAAAGGTTAAAGAGAAAAACCTCAAGATTTTTGCCTTGAATGATCAATTTGACGGAAGAAAGCGGACCATCCCATGACATCCGGACCACAAACGATTTGCTGCGACCGTTTTTACAGGAACCCAGTTCGACATGGCTCAGATTCTTACTCAACGGGTTCAAGAAACTAGATTTCAGATGCAATAAACCCGAAATTTGAGGGTTTGCGGTACCCATCATGGACATGGATGAAGATGAACACGGAGGCGATGAGGATGACGGTGGTGTTGGAAGATGGCTGTGGTGGTGAAAGTTGGTTTTCGAAGAAGCTAGCAGAGTAGCCATTGACAGTGGAGAGTACGAGCTAGTTGGTCAAATAATGGAGTGGTTGGATGGTGGAAAATTGAAGAGAAAGTGAACAAGAAAAAGGGGGGAAATTGGGGTTTTGGTTCTCAGTGGATTGATTCAGCAGAAAGAGAAAAAGATAGAGAGAAAATGGATAAGAACACGTGAGAGAGCAGAAGAATGAAGATGGTCCCCACTATCTGTCGTCTTCTCCAATTCCATTTCTCCCATATTGCACCAGTGACCAGTGTCCTCTGGTTGTTGCAGACATAAATCTCTTCATCCGAGTCTTTTCCGCTATTTCCACAAAATATCGCCAAAATATCTATTTTTAGATTTTTTTTAGTGAAATTATAATTTCACCTCATATTGTTTATTTTATTACAAAAATTTCCCCCCACGTCTCGTGACGCCGCCAGGTGTAAGGTTTAAAAATCATGCAATCACCACCAATGAACATGACCAATTGACCGTTTATATTTCAAAATCACCGTCAAGGGTATTTTGGTAAATCAATATTACGAGCAGCCAATCATGCGTTCCCATTCGGCAGCTATCCAATCAAATGGCGAGTAGAGAAGAAGCGAGTGGGCCGGGGGAAAGGAAGAAACCAGAAGAAAAATGAAGAAGATAGCGTTTGATAACTTCAAAACCACAAGCCGAACCCACCCTCTCTTAATGCGACACGTGTCGTTACGACATCCATGAAACACGTTGTCTCCTCAGAGCACCCATGAAAATATCTTCTTCAAGTGGGGCCCACTAACAGCCAGGTGTCCCCACGTTAAAATATCCGAAATGCGGAGGCTGTCTGTGGGCGTGTAATCTACACCACCAAAATCTCCACGAACCAACGCACTATCCATGGCTGCTTTTTGCTGACGTGGCTTAATGGGCCTAACTGCAGAGACCTCCAGATATTTTTGCTGCCTCTGTAGCTTCAGATATTTCTTACCGTTGGATCAGAGTCGGTTTGAAGTTAACTCGGGTGCTGAGCCGTCGGATTAATCCGGAATGGCCTTTTTAGATATTTTTATTTTGATGAGGTAGACCGGTTTAGGTTTGAGCGGAGGATGGCTGAGTGAAAGATTTTTTTGCTTTTTTCTCCAGCTTTGCTTTTCAGGGAAACAAAAAGCAAGTTAAGCACACAAAAAAAATTAACAAATTTTATTATTGATTGTTCTTGGGTTTAGTGGTGCAGAGAGAGTCAGCTGAGCGAGATGGGTGAGGTGGTGGTGAGCAGTGAGGAGGTGGAGGTGAAGTTTGGCAGCAAGAGAGAGGAGAAGGCGGTGGAGAACGGCGGCGGAGAACGGAAGAGCAAGAAGGACGGATTGGTGAAGTGGGAGAAATTCTTGCCCAGGATGGTACTGAGGGTATTGCTCGTTGAAGCTGATGATTCCACCAGACAAATAATTGCTGCTCTGCTTAGAAAATGCAGTTACAGAGGTCAGTATGTCTCGATTTACTGCAATTCATTCCCCTTTTCCTTCGATTATAGAATTGCTCGACATAGGGGTTTGCCTGGGCTTTGTTTAGCTTATCACGATCCTTACCTCTCCGGGTTTTTCGTCTGAAGAAATGGGTTCTTCGTAATTGTTTCATATCGTTTATGATTTATGTGTATTTGGTAATTCAGTTGGTTGGAGAATAGAAGAGTCTTGTTTGGTTGCAGAAGTTTCTGAGTCTCAAGTTTCTGTCTTTCTTGGTTGTATAAAAAAAAAAGTTTGTGTCTTTCTTGGATTTCATAGGAGTTTGATTTTAGAGGTTAAAAATTTGACGAATAGTAAATTATGGTCTCTTTTCTATTTTCTGCTCATTTCCTTTGTTGGGTTAGTTGTGTGATGTTCAGAATTTGGTTTGATTTCCTTTCTTTTTTCTTTTCCAGTTTGCATTTCCTTCTGTCTTGTGGATCATCAACTGGTTAAATACCTTATATAAAAAGCAGACCCTTTTTACCTTTTGTAATTAAAATCTAAATTTGAATGATTAAGCTGTCTTTTAAAAATTGCAAAAGCATACCGTTTTTACCTTATGTAATTATGTCTATTGCTTGCTCCTGAGGCTGAAATTTAACGAATTTCATTCGAAAGCTGATAAGGTACTTTTGTGCTGTTTGAGCAGTTGCTGCTGTGCCTGATGGCTTGAAGGCATGGGAGATGCTGAAGGGAAGACCTCATAATGTAGATCTTATACTGACAGAAGTTGATTTGCCATCAATATCCGGATACGCCCTTCTTTCGCTAATTATGGAGCACGAGATTTGCAAAAGCATTCCTGTTATAAGTATGACATGGGGAATCATGATTTCCACGTTTATTTTACTAAACTTGATCTTCCTTCCTAGGATAACCTAATTGTTTTTCTTCCTGTTGTAAATTTGCAGTGATGTCCTCACAGGATTCAGTTAGTACAGTATATAAATGCATGTTGAGAGGTGCCGCTGATTATCTTGTTAAGCCTATAAGGAGAAATGAGCTGAGAAATTTATGGCAGCATGTTTGGAGAAGACAAGCTGTATGTCTAGTTACACTTCCTAATCTATCTCACTCTGTATCTGTATGTATATGTACAAAAAGCTTTTTCATGTTTATTGTGTGCCTATTTGCGTGTATATATGCATCTTGGTAAGTCATATGGAGAAGGAAGCTAAGAAATTTATGAAGAAGATGCATATGTATAGTTCCACTCCCTGTCTGTCTCTCTGTTTGAAAAAGCTCTCTGTCCGTTGCAGATCATAGCTGTCCATTAACTGTGTTTTCTAAAATTTTCATCAGTCAATAGTTGGTGGAAGTGGCCCCCAAGATGAGAGCGTTGGACAGGAAAAGCTAGAAGCTACTTCTGAAAATAATGCTGCAAGTAATCAGTCAAGTGGGTTCTTGGCTTGTATTCAGAGAAACAAGGAGCAAATTGAGAAAGGGAGTGATGCTCAGGTGAGTTTAATTTTAATTTATATAAGGAGTGAATAAAGGTATCTAGGTTTCGGATTTGCAGTTTTCCAATATCTGTAAAGCCTCTCGCTTGTAAATTGCAGTTTTATGTATCTAATTCCAGCTTGCTATGTTGGGGCTTGATTTATAGTTATATTCGTGGAAAATAAAAAGGAAAGGAATTACTATCGTAAATTGAACGCGTTGAGAAGTTATTTATGATGGACTTGTCTGTTTGAATGACTTACATATGGAATTCACAGTTGATCAAAGACTTTTAATTCTTCTGTTCATGAAACTTTTTAAATAATGTAATATTGGTTTATTAAATTGAGCTGATGGCCTCGCAAGTATGTACATTTTGTATGGGATATACCACAACAGTTACGGGAAAATGTGTGTGATCTCCAGGGCATGTATGTATGAATTTATGAGGTGGCTCATTGATTAGAATTTATGAGGTGGCTCATTGATTAGCAGGAACTTCCTTTCAGTTTAGATTGGCTACATGAAGTTTTATCTAGAGACTGCATGTTTGCTGTCTCTTGCAGAGTTCTTGTACGAAACCAGATGCGGAAGCTGAGGGTGAGAACACAGACAATATGCAGGAATTTTCACGGCTGAATTGGAGTAAATCTTTACCAAACGATACAGAAATGCAGCAGCAGAAAGATTATCCTGATTTCTGCACAACACTGCCTGTAAATGAGAATGAGGCTGGAGGTAGCTTATTTCAGATTGCTAGTATAGTATCATATTCTCTATCTTTCAATATAAAAGCATTCAACTTTATGCTTTAATTGAAGTAGGGTCGTTGGCTGGTGCCTGCGAGGAAGTGATTAAAGCATCTGCAAATGAAGATGTTGGGCCAGAAAGTCAAGGGAGGGATGCTAACAGCAAACATGAGGCTTGTAATGGCTTCGCCAGCTCCTCAAAAGAAGCCATTGACTTCATGGGGCAATTTAGTACTCACAAATCTTCTTCAAATAATGGCATGAACAAGTTTGAGTTGCCACACCTTTTGGATCTCTCCTTGAGATGATATCATCCAAGTGGCTCTGAGGATCAAATCTCCGGGGAAAAGCCTATCCTTTGGCATTCCAATGCCTCGGCTTTCACAAGGTTAGATTCTCTTTCTAGTCTATAATTGAGCAAAGCTACTCTTTAGAAGCTACATGATAGGAATAAAAAGAAGAGTTGCAATCCATGGAACTTGTCAATGGAATTTTAACATTACTGGATTATTGCTAATCCATGAAAGGATCCTTAATGCAGGTATGCTAGCAGAGTCAAACAGCCCGAGTCTTCTACTTCGCCAAGTGTTTCTAATCAAAGGAAAGAATCGGGAAATATTTATGAGAAGAATTTATCTGATCTTGTTGGTGGGTTTAATTGCAATGCTCCTGGTCCACCAAGTACCCGAACCTCTCTGACTATTTGGCAATCTGATTGTCAATCTAAACAATCTGAACATGCCACAACTTCATGGCCTCAACAGAGAGTTTTTCCTGTCCCCATTCCTGTAAAAAGCATCAAAGTTAATAGTCCAAACACAGGCTATGGTTCTGGGATTCCTCCAATATTTGGAAGACAATCAACTCCGTCACCAACACTGAGCCCTAGTTCAGCCAGCCAGCCAGAACTCACCTCTCGAGCAAATACATTTTGTTGGCCTGGTTTTGGAAACAGTAAATGTGAACAGATGTATTTGTATGATGGAATGGGTCAAAATGTAAATTCAGCCAACCAATTTATGTACAACAAATTGGAATCTTTGGAGGATCGAGGACATATTTCTCCCGCCACGGTTCAGAGTGGAACTAGCAGTTTCTGCAACGGTGCCATAAGCCATCTTAACGGCTATGCCAGTGCATGTGGAAGTAATGTCAATGTTGATCAGGTTTCCCTTATCAGAGAAGGTCCAGAGAGCAAGAACGAAGACAGTTATTTCTCTCCCACGAGAAACTCACAACGCTCCCTCCAAAGGGAAGCAGCTCTTACCAAGTTTCGTCTAAAGCGAAAAGATAGATGCTTTGAGAAAAAGGTAAATTGCTAATGACCATAGCAAGTAAAATCCCGTGTGATAAACTGTAACTCTACTGTCTGTTTGGAAATTAGCATGCAAAGTGACAAGCTTTTTTTGTGAATTTTGATTCACAGGTTCGGTACGAAAGTAGGAAAAAGCTTGCTGAGCAGCGACCTAGAGTAAAAGGACAATTTGTTCGACAAGTGCACCCGGAACATGCACCTTCAACAGCAGAAAATCACTATGGCAATTCATCTAGTGGCTAGCTACTCCATTTTACGAAAATAGAATGAAAAGAACCTACAGAACAATGAGTTGGATCACTCCAGCCTCGTTTTCTCCAGATTCAGAAGCAATGAAGCAGAGTTGGATCAAAGTTGGTAAATGCTTTTCTCTAACACAACCTACAAACCCGACTTGTTTCTCGATATTCATAAGGGAATTACCATTTAGGTATTGTAAAATATCGCTATAACATGCTAGTTATGCTATATGTATTTTTACATGACTCGATTGCCTGATTATTCTTTTTGCTTGTTAACATGTAAATTTGTTTATTCTAATATTGAGCAACATAAAAACCGGGTATATAGCCAGCCAAAGTATGACAAAGGAATTTGTCTTTAGGCGGATTGCTCCGAAATTATTTTAATTTTACCTTCTATGAAGCTTCTTCTTGGGTTTAATAGGTAATTTGGAAGTTTAAGAACATGGTTTAGATTTTCAATGTGGTTTTGGTGTTCATTAGCAGAATCATCTGATAGCGAGTGAATGTAGAAAAATTCCAAAGACTTGAAAACAAATATGATTGACAGAACGCTGCCACCTATTATAAATCATAATCTTGCAGTGAAGAAATCAGAGTCTGATGAAAAACCCTTTTTATCTACAGATGCTGTAACTCCATCTTCCAAGAAATCAGAACCACTGTCATCAACTCCATTATTCAATTAGCAATTGATTAAAAAAACAAGCAATCAATGAAATTAAAAAGCAGATAATCTTTTCTCTCATGTTCAAATCAAAAGTAAACTTTAAAGCTGATCAGATGAGAAATCATTAAGCTCATGGGGTCATCCCAGTGGCTTTCCTTCCCTGGGATTGAAATTGAAGGCCTCAATAACCCAAATAAAAAATTTAAATTCAATTCAAAAGGCAGAACCTAAACTCCTTTCCCCTGTTTTTCAAACGTCAATTATGCCACCAATATTGTAATTGTAATATATAATATCCTGATCAAGCGGGTCCCCATAGTTTTATCAACCAGAAGGTTCCTCATCGTATATAACACTACCAGCAATTCATCTGTCCACATGGCAAACATCAAATGATCAAGACCCATCAAGAGTCTGATCACACGGCTGGGATAGAAGGGCTCACGTGAGTTATCATGTACACGTTTTTCCTTAAGTTAGAAGAAAAGGAGAAAAACATAAGACGCATGAGGCCAATATAAAATCAGTGGGAAATGCTTTCCCGGCGCTTCCAAAAAAGCCAATTTACAGATTCTCTGTGCCTTACCTTTTTTCAACTCTCTTTTGTTCGGGCACACTTAATCAACCCAATTAATCAAGCATACCAATAATTTCCTAACACCATTATAAATTAATACTAATAATCAACAAACTAAGTAATTTTAAGATATTGTGAGTTTCGAATTAAATATATTATGAGCTTATGCATGAAGTCTTATTTTTCTCAAATTGAATAAGCCTTTGAATTATATAAAAAGGGACTTCAACATAAGATTTTGGATAAAAAAGGTATCCCCTGCATCTCCAATATCATTCATATATTGGGGTGCTTCCACCTTCTTTTCTTTTTCACTTAAAAACCTAAACCAATAATACACAACACATATACACACCTATACATATGTATGTATGTATGTATGTATGTATTTGTTATAATAATATGTGTTGCATGAGTTGTAGGATTAGCACAGGGGACATGCAGAGATTGATTATGATTCAGAAACCTGAAAGAGTAAATTTGGGACCCATGAATTATTGACTACTTTTACGTACATGAGACTAACTTCATATACATATACATACGCTTCATTAGCAATTCACATTCACAAATGCAAACAACACCCACCTTTGAGACAACCCTGATAAGCTCATCAGATGGCTGAAATGTGGAGCATGGTCTACTCATCCAACGACTGAGATTCACTTTCAATCACTCTATTCACCCTTGATTTAAAGGCTACTCCATGATCATCTCCCACCAGCAGCCAGTCAAAAGCATGTTGCAGAGAGAAAAACAATTATTATTCTCGGCTTTCCTTCCACTTCCCATCCCCTTTATAACTCCCTCACCTCACTCCATCTTCCTTACCATTCTGAACTTCCTTCTTCCTCATCAAATCTCTGCAAATGTCTCAAATCTTCACACCGTCTCCCAAACACTGTGCTGACAAACAAGGACTTATCACCATTAACAAGCGTTACAAGAAGCTCTTCTTTGCTTTCTCCTCATCTCTTTCCCTCCTCCTCTTACTCATCCTCCTCCTCTGGCTCATCCTCCACCCTGCAAAACCCCAGTTCTCACTCAAACAACTCGACATATACCAACTCAATCTCATCTCCTCCCCTTCCCACCTTCTCAACTCCTCCATCCAACTCACTCTCCTATCCAAAAACCCTAACAAAAAAGTGGGTGTTTACTACGACCAGCTCCAAGCTTACGCCGCTTACAAAGGTCAGCAGATCACCGTCGAGACCTCGCTTCCTCCTTTCTACCAAGACCATGAAGATACCAACTTGTTAACTGCGTCACTCGTCGGCACAGGCCTCCCGGTGGCTCCCTCGTTTGGCTACGAGGTGGGTCGGGATCAGACCGCCGGGAAACTTACTCTTAATCTCAAGGTCAACGGTAAGCTCCGGTGGAAAGTTGGGACTTGGGTTTCCGGCCGGTACCTGTTTAATGTAAACTGTGTTGCCGTGGTGGTTCTTGAACCGGCTCCTCCGATCTCTGGTCCACTCAGCTCGAGACAAGCAACTCACTGCTCCACTAGTATTTGAGTTTTTGATTTCACTAACTTATCCTTATCAGCAGCAGCTTAGCTTCTCTGTCACTACTCCAAACCAAGAAATCGAAGAAGAAAAAAAAAGGCTATTGATTGGTTGAAGCTTGATTGGTATATACCTGCATATTTGTAATGGTATATGTGTTATATTGTATCATTATCTGTTTGATTCTGTTTAATCTGGTGCGGTTAAAGTTGATGTCTTTTTTAAAGGTTTGGGTGTCTTGATTTGTAACTAGAATATTTTGACCCATACATATAATTTACACATAAGTATATATCATATATATATATATATATATATACATATATGTGTGTGAAATTAATACGAATAATCTCAATGGTTTCTTTTCAGCTTTTAAGTTTTTTGGTTTTTCTGATCAGGAGCAAAAGTGAGTAAAAGTTTTTTCCTTTCTCTTTAAAGTACATGTATTATAATATATGTAAATTTTATTTTAAATAAAACTTGAAACTTGATAATCACAGAGGAACCATCAAAAATTTTTCATGTAAATCCCTCATTTCTTTAATAATCACATTATGAATCTTGAATCTTTCTCTCTTTTCCTCTAATGATCTTCCCAGTTTACTGTTTATGCTTAACTGCATATTTCTTTGAAAACTTGCTTCGGATTGCCAATACCCAGTTGGTCCTTCCTATACATACATGTGACCTGGTACCAGGAAAAGAATTACAGTAGTTAAACAATGGTGTATAACATCGGTCAGTCACGTACCACCGGTTAGGTTACAAGATCGAATCTCTCACGAAAAGTAAGAAATTCCGCATATATATTTTGATCGATTCAAGGTTAAAAAAATGGAGTTGCTCCCTCAGCAGCAAAATTGGCGGATTTAATGTTGAATATTCCCAATAATATGAAATTTCATGTATAATATGAAATTATTTACACCCACATTAATTGAAATTAAATTTTATATTATTTTCAGCTTGTAGCTAATGGATTCAATAGAATAGTAAATAATTTTCATAAAATAAACCGTATATGAGTTTGAGTTGTGTTTGTATTCAGGTTCATGTTTTACAAGTAATATTACATTAGGGTAACCCTAAAAAAATATGATTTATAAATCTGGGTATGATGATTAAATATTACTCTTTTATAAAAATCAGGTGTGTGTATATATATATATATATATATGTACTATTTAGTTATAATACAATTATAAACCAAAAAAGCTAAACTTTATAAGGTGCAATAAACTTTAATAATCATTAGCCTACTCTTTTCATAGTCATGTCACCCACATAAAGCACGTTGTCCTTATAAGTTAATTAAATGGCATTTATATTACGATTAATATTAATTAAATATAAATAATTTATTTGTACGGTGGTATTTTATGATAATTAATTAATATAAGATATATAGTTAAGATAATAAAATATTATTTATTTTTTGATAGTATGATTATTTGAGAGTGTTTCGTAATATTCAAAAATAAATTTTTAAAATTATTAATTTAATAATTTTTGTTAGACTCATATTTTTATTTCAAATATACTTTCGTTAAATTTTATCAATTTTTGTTTTAGCCAAAAAAAATTTCATTTCTTTTAATTGTTTGAGTAATAAATAAATATATTTTAAAAATTAGTTCATGCTAAATAATTATTTGAACCATTTTTTTATTTTTTATTTTTTAAATTTAATATAATAATATATAATTTTAAGTATTTATTTTTAATATATAAATAATAATTATATATTATTAAATATAATAATTATTTATTTAAATATAAATTTAATTATATTTTTAAATAATTTTTTTATTAAATTATTTTTATATTTTATTTTTTTTATTTAATATTATATATAATAAAATAGAAATAAATTATTGACTGAATGTACAACCATATTATTCTATCAATTTAAATAAAATAATTATTATTATCATACATTAATATATAATTTTCTCAAAAATTATATAATTTTATTATTATTATTTTATGTCATTATCATACATTAATTACCCACTATAAAATTCATCCAAACAAAGCAAAAATGTTAGACTTAGGGACATGGAAGAAGTCCTTTTTAATAACCTTTTTATAATTATGTTAGTTAAGATTCCATAAAATTACATTAGATTTTGTGTTTAAATTTCAAACTTTTTTAAAATTCATTTTATTAAGTTTTATATCACTCTTTTAAATTAAAAAGTTTTTAGTAAATAAGTGATTTAAATTTTATATTACATTTTTAAGTAAAAAAAAACATAAGTGAATCAATATTTTATGTAATTTCTCTGTCAACCGGTTTGCAAAATTATTATTTTCTTATATAAATAATAGAAATCTTATAAAAAATTACTAAAACGGATTGAACTCGATCGCCAATAGACCTTAGCCAGTTAGCACTATCGAGTTCAGCTCGGTTTCAAGCCGTAGTTCTTCTCGGGTTCTAATCTTAGTAGACTACAAAAGGCAAAAATCGAATCATGTTAGACTCATTTAGTGATATGTAACATCAAATTACAAAAATAGAAGATTCACATGTCAATCTAATTACAAACATTTTCCCACTATAGAAAGATAAATCAAGGTTACCCAATTTTCATGATTTGATCAAGATCAAGGATCACAATCAGCTTAAACCCTAAAATAAACCAGAAGACTAACATTCTGTTTGGATAAATTTTAATAATTGTTAATTAATATATGACAATGACAGTAATTGAATGACAATGATACATGATAAGAATGTTAAAAAAAATTTATGTTTGGATGATTATATATTAATGTATATTAATAACATATTTTTGTTTGGATAATAAAATAGTACGGTTGTATTTTCAGCTAAATTACTAATTTACTCCTACCTATTATATATAATAGTAAATTATATATGAAAAGTATGTAATAAAAAAAATTATTTACCAATATAATTATATTTGTATTTAAATAAATAATTATTATACATAATTAAATTAAATTTTTATATTTAATAAAATAAATATTAATTTGTAATAATAAAAATAGAATTAAGTATATTATATGAAGATATAAAGAGAGAAAATAATATATCGGTCACATAATACTAATTCGGTAGTTTTAAAATTCATTTTAAATTTTTTGATTAGTTACCGTTTGCTAACATTGAAAGTTGAAACAAACATGATTTTTTCACACCCGTGGAGTACCATACAATCAAATTCTATCATTCACCGCAATCAAAACATATGTAAATGGGGGGAGGAACTTAATACTCAAGATCAAGATCATGACATGAAATGCTCATTTATATTCTATTAATTGTCCATGCAACTATTACAATCCCAGCGTAGATAATCTTGAAGGTTCCAGCCATGGCTACTAGTACTAAAGAAATTGAAATTAAGACACAATCAAGCATGGCATAAGTGAATCAATATCTTCTATAATCAATATGTTCCTGTATTATAATCAGTATATGATTCTTCAGCCGCTCAACCAAAAACATTGGCATCTCCTCAATAAAAATCCTACCCAAAATTGATCAAACACAAATTTAGATAAAATCAAGATTGAATTGAATCAGAATTTACCCATTTCCAGTGATGTCTCTTTACTGATATTGCTTTATCCGCAGCCTTTGTTTCCTCTGATTCCATATACTCCTCTTCCTCTTCCGTGCAAAACTCCTCTTCCGGCAACCCATCCACGCTAGCATCTATAGAATGCAGCACATACCGCGCCGGCAATCCCGGATACGACACCGAATTTCTCTCCTCAATCCTGCAGTAATAAGAACCCGGCACAATCCTCACAACGCCGCGGATATCATCGTCACCAACTGAAGCTTTCAACACGGAGCCAAGCTCTTCCTTAACCGCCCTGAAAGCAGCCTCTTCTGGGATCTCATCGGGCTTCATTTTCTCCGACAAGGGTCGAGACCGGTACCTGACACTACCATCGGATAATTCCTGGTGAGATTCCACGAGTACCCGATTGTCCTTGCCGATAATCCGTACAGAAACGACATTGACGGTGCGAATCGGAGGGTGGGAGTCGGCGAGAGAAACCTCTCCTTGGGAGAGCTCGAGCCAAAGATTGTGGACGTTCTTGGTGCCGGGTTTGACGCCCCATGAAGCAAACGAGTCAGAGGGTAGCCGAGGCTTGAGCCAGTCGGAGAGGGATTGAGGGTTGGCAAATCGGTGACGGCAGCGAGGATTTACCGTGGCGGGCTGCTGCGACATGGACAGGACTCTGAGGAATCTCCGCGGATTGTACTGAAGTGGGGGAAACGGGGATTTGGGGAAGTGAGTTCTGCTGCAACCAGTCGATGAGGATTTGGAAGAGAAGACGAAGAGGAGCGAGACGGCGGAGAGGATGAGATCAGAAAGAGTTGTAGGCTTGCGAGGAGGAAGAAACGTATGTGATTGTGGGTTGTGAATGGGCTGCGGCGGAGACATATTAAAGATAATAACACGCACTGCCGCTACTATCTCTGCAATTATCAGGACTTTCACTGATAGGCGAGAAGATTGCAGGGTTGATCTCCATTATTGGGATTCAGAGACAGGGCTGGAAGGATGAGGATTGTGAAAAACTAGAGGTGGGAAATTAATGGCTTTCTTCTCTGTTACGGATTCGGCGAATTATATGGAGCCTCACCCGGATCAGATTGACCCGACCCTACCCACCATCTCTCTGAAGGGACTAAAGCCTACTTTTCTTGTCTTGGACTGCAAACTAGGCTTATGGTCAAATCCCAATATTAATTTCTTATATATATATAGATACTGGGCTTAGAGATTATGGACTTTGTCAAACAAATTTGAATAAATTAAATTATCATCAGTACATATTTTAGTTTCTGTTGAGGATTCAACAAAAAATATCCCAGCCTAAAAAGCATCTAAATTTTGCAAGAATGTAAATATGCTGAAGGGAAAAACAGACTTGTTAAATGACCTATTTAACAATCTGGAGTTGTCAGATACATACACTGAAAAACAAAGACTGGTCGAATTTGGGAGAATCATCATCATCCCAAAAATGACACAAGGATTTTGCAACATGAGAAATTAAGCCATTCATGTCCTCTAAGTCCCATCCATCCGTATAATGCTAGTAAAAGAAACCATACTTCGAAAAAGGACCTATCCTCCTATAACATAGGGTAACCAAAGATACCGGGCTCGGGTGAGACAGCTTCGACAAAATCATGATAAAAGCCACAAGTACCTAAAATGTTCTTCTGTGTCTATCTATGTATAATGTAACTTTAAATATATATTCCCAGCTAGTAAGTCCAGAAACTGCAACAGAGCTGACTTGTCACTGCAAATGAGGACGAGGAGTACGGGGCCGAACTGGTGTCTTGGATGGGCTTACCCTGCGTATTTACAAGGATATTACAGTCAGATGAGAGAATAGGTGAAATATGTATGAACTGAATTAAACCCAGACGAAATCAACAACCTGATCGGGAGCGATCCCAAGACAGCACCACTACAATTCAGAGCTGCAATTGCACTGTCAGCCTGCAAGTGAAAATGCTCTATGAGATCATTGCACCAAAACTCTTTGGTAAAATAAACCCAAGTCTTTGCCAGATCAGAATAGCAAGAAAAATTAAAGACTACAACTTAACAGCTGTTTCCAGGAACATGATAGGAAGAACTGATAGTCTGCCCCTCTCCGTTATATAAAACATATAAAGAGAAAAAATGCAAAGGGAACCCAAGGAGACTGAGTTTTCGAAGAGGTAAAGCTTGACAGTGGACAAGAAAACAACCTGATTTACATCCTGATTTTCCCCATGAAAAATTTATGTGAGGCCATTCCATTTTCATGATAGATTGTTGCATCACTACTTGAACATGTGGGCACCATCCCACCTAAACCACAACAAATACAGAAGTTCACAGGAGTATGCAGGGACAAAGATCACTTTTTCCCTTATAATTTTAGCAATACCGGTGGTATAGAGTGAGGCAGAGTATCTAAAAGTCCTTTGGTTCTTGACAGGATGCAAAAGGTTGCTTGTAAAGCACTGTGTTTTAAACCAAACCAACCATTCCTCCTAAGGAAAAATTTTAAAAACAGAAAAAGCCTTGATGGTTGTTACAAGAACGTTATACATCCTACAGATAATACACAAATCCTCATTTATCCAATGCACAGCACATCTAGACATAGATTGTGACAAATTTGGGCTTCAATCATTGCATCCAGACAAAATCCCAGGAGAGAGGTTATAGGAACTTCATTCTAGGATTAGGCAATACGCAAACCAAGAAAATTTGTGAAGATAGTTCCATTTAAACTATAATTGTTAAGGTGGATTTGTACACTTGTGCCTACAGGTTATCCAAAGCAACAATCATTGATATATTTGATAAGACACCAGAAAAACAAACAAACAAAATAAATAAATAAATTATGGCTGAATAATTGAATAAAGGAAATGATTTTTCACTTATCTTGGAGCAAATCCATCAGATCCCAGGAAATAATGTTACCAGATAATGACAAGAACAGGATTCGGGGCCATGCAGTTTTGACATAAATCAGAAGGCAAAGGAAGAAAAAGTATGTTGATGGAATAACTTAAGATGAAACAAAGTAAGCAAGACTGCAACGATTATTCAAAAAGGCCTTATTCGTTGATTTAAGAAAATACATAGATAATTTAACCAAAATATGAGATGAAACCATCTGATAGCTACAACCTCAACTCTTTCCAAATCATATGATCGCAACTCAAAAAAGTTTTGGCAATCACCACCGAATTAGATATTGAACAACTAAGGACAAGATACACAATATTGAAACTCTCTTCCACTAAAACATCAAGGCTACAATATACTAGAAGCAAAGTAAAAACTACTTCCATTGTTGAGGTATTTCATAGAACTCAAATATCAAGAATTATTTCTCTCCATCTTGTTTTCTAACTTAACATACATTTCATGGATCGTTGGACATTTTGATCAGTGTTAATTTCGTTTAGAATCTAATCTATGCTCTTCATTTTGCTGCATTTGACACATAAGTAGTTACTCCTTGAACACGTGTAAACAACATTAGAGTTTTTTTTTTGGTCAAATTCAATTATTTTCCTACATATGACAAGAAATAAAACTGAATATAGAGGAAAGCAAAGACAATAAATGAGCTAAAGCTCTTGGTTCTAAACCACGTTAGAGTTAAAAGATCATGTTTTAGGAATTAGAGTTTATAGGCTGACACGCGAAATAAATACTATGTATAGCATTTTAAATGACGAACACTAATCCAGTTGTGAAATGAGTGGGTAAGTTAAAAATGCAAATGGAGCAGATTAAAACTGTCTATTAAATCTTCGAATCAATGTCCCTAAAATGATATAAAAACTAATGTAAAAATCTCCAAATCATCTTTCTGTAAAACAAAATTGAAATTAATTCATGATTCCACGACTAGGTTTAAGATGCATTTAACAGCTTGATGTTTTAACCAATTTGACCAAATGGGTAATATTCCGAAATGAATCAAAGAAAAACACATAGCTAATTGCAGCATAGATGAAATAGCTTTCCTTGTAAACCAGATAGGTATACCAATAATGAGAACTAACTGCTTTCTAATTCTTGCAGCATTGATATTCCAAAATTAGCATTGCGTGTTATTAACCAATCAAAACAGTACATGCAAACGTAAAACAGCATAACAAATTCCAAACATGTAAGGAGAAAAAAACCTTCTCCCCAACAATGATACTCTCCCCGATTTATTCTATTTTCACTTTGCATATTCTTCTCCAAGATCATTGTTGACATTCTCCCTCAACATATCCAAATATGTAAGGAATGAAAAATTTAGAGTCTATAAAGTAATGCAACTCTCAGCAAGTCTGAGGTGTTAAGCAGATAAGGGCAAAATTAATACAAAAAAGAATCTGACTAGAAAAGGAAAAGTTTACGTGCATGAGATAAGTAATAATCAATATAAGTAATTACCAATGAGAACTCGACAAAAGCGATACGAGTTGCATGATGATAGTCCCCAAGCAGCCTCAAGCGATGAACCTATAGAAAGTGCAATGATCTCATTTAACCAACAAATGGAAGACCAGAATCATAGATTTAAAATTTGCATCCACAAACCTCCCCGCAAATTGATTCAAAGAAGAGCTTGACATCTGTCTGAGTGACCTACAATCAGACAAATAATTCAAGATCGAATACACTCCCATTGTTTCAAGATTTGAATTTAAGGTCATATCATTGAAAACTACCTTTTTGTCAATATTTGTACAGTATACAGTCCTTGAGCACATCTCACGTTCATCCTCAGACTGAAGAGCAATAACAAGATCAGAAAGCCCGTCACAGGGTGGTAAGTGCAAATTTACACGTTCAATAAGATCAAACAGTGCCTAAAAATTAACATAGTCATGTAGGCCGCACCCTTGGCAAATAGGTAGGGTTAACAGGTGCAATAGCAGTTTTGGACGGCAGCACTCTAACAGGATAATAACCAAGCATAGTCCCAGCCAAGTTCAAAGCAGCCCTGGCACCCTCTGCAAGCATATCTTATGTAAAAACGGAAAGAATATATATATATGTATGTGTATTTATATATGCATCAGCAATACATTGAGCTTATGATAATACCTTCATCAGTGAACTCAATGAAGGCAAAGCGGAGAACAGAGTTAGGATCGCCACATATACGACAATCAACAACCTTTCCAACACCAAAAGAACACAATCACTGCAAGTTATAATTCTCATATATTGGGTTTGGGTTGGGGAGGGGGAGGGGAAGGGAAGTATATATGGGAGCAAAACAAAAGACTACCTGGCCGCAATGGAGAAAGAGACCTGCAAGTTGCTCCTCAGTAACCTACAACAATGAGAAACAATAATCTTGTATTTTCCCATTCAGCAAAAGAAACCTTTAAGACACGAAAAACTGATTAGAGCAGAAACTAACGAGTAAAGTACTTGTGTGAATCCTTACCTGCTGATCAATGTCAGATACATATACAGTTCTCCGAATGACATCGTCACGCTGCGCCATACTTGTTCTACTGTTACTCCTTCGTCTTCCTTGGCCATAGCCATTTCTCCTCTGCAGGGAAAGTAGAACGTCAACAAATCTGACCCCCAACACGAAGATACAATGCTAATACATTTTAAAAGCATGAATAATCGCAAAATAAACGAAGAT